CAATAAAAAAACCCCCCCCCCCCCCCCCCCCCACAGCACATCCACATATAAAGTGAAATAATAATACAATACAGAGCCCCCTCTCCTGCTTGCCTTATTGCAGGGAGGAGGCTGTGAGGAGCCACAATCGATCCCTGGTGCTCTAGTGGCGACTAGTGAGGTCTGCTGCAGACCTCACTAATCGATCCTGTGCTACACTGCTACATGCTGCGAGAGCTCAGAACCGAGCTCCGGCCGAAAGGATCTCAGTGCCGGGAGGAGCAGCTCTGCGGTCTGCATCCAAACGAGATGCAGAACGTGTAGCTCCTACCGCAAGCTAAGTATGCAGCCCGTGACCGCGTACCTGACTTGTCACCACATAGTACCGGCATGCGGGCCGCAAGTGCCCTGCGGGCAGGGACTTTGAGACCGCTGATTTAGGGCCATGTCACCTTAGTAAACCTGTCGTTGGCAGCAACCTGCCAGCTACATGATCCCTAAAGGAACTATTTCTGGGCCTTGTGTTGTCACTTCATTTTAAATTCACCAGCGATGGGGTAAAAACCTGAGGCGTTTTCAGTTGGTCGTCCGCTGCGAGTGCTTGGTTAGCAAACTGTTGCTGAACTCTGCTGCAAGTCAGCACTGCTAACTTAGCACTCGCAGCAGAAGTGAATGAGGATGCAGAGCGTTGAATGTGGTAGAATACAGAGCATAAGGTCTCGTTCACACCTAGGCGTATTGCATATGCGCGGCTGTCGCGCGACCGGCGTGCGTTTTTTTAACCGCGATTCGCGATTCACCTACAATCTAATGTTTTTGCGGATGAGCACACCAAATCTTTGTTGTAAAATGGTATTTATTAGTTAAAAATATTATCCACCGCCATTTTGCTTAGCTCGGTGCCGCTGAAGCGTTCAGTGAGGCTGCTGCAGCAAAGTGAAGTGCTGCAGGACAGCTACTCAGCGCTTGGCTAAGGAACTGAACGCTCCCATGGCTAGACTGTCCAGAGAGGAAGCAATACGGTAGGGGTGGGTGAGTGCTTGCACTGCTTTCATAGCGATCCCTGGAGAGGCCCTGTTGCTTAGCAGTAAAGATGCCAATGGCAAAAGCTGGGTGTAACTACTGCTACATGCCAGCCAATCGGTGGTTGCCATTCATGATTATAACCATAGCAACTTTTCACTAATGTTTTTCTTTATTTATTTTACTTTGTGTCATTGATATAGTATTATCTATAATATAGTAATACATAAGCCCTGGTAGTTGCTGCAGACAGTTATATGTACACGGAACAGCTCTAAATCTGTTCTGCAAGCAGTTAAAAAAAAACCTGCTGCAGGCTATTATTGCTTTCTTGCTGTCATAGTAACCCGTTCTCCGCCTATTGCCTGTGACAGCTGTCAGAGGAAGCTCCGATGCGTGAGCACGTTGCGCTCCACGTAGGGCTCCGCTCTCTCATTGGACAACGATTGTCCCGCCCTAGGATGACTGACAGCTCAGCCAGCTGTTATAAAGTTAAAGTCTGCGCCTGCGTGAGGCCTGTGGAGCCCGAAACACCGAGAACACCCGGATATGAGGTGACCGGAGATGCCCGCGGGCTGACAGGGAGACCCGTGTACGTGTAACGGGGAGCAGGCCGCGGCTGGAGGCGGAGCAAAGCAGAACACCGAGTAAAGGATTCCCCCGGACACCGCCGCCATGGGTGAGTGCAGCACACCGGCACTGTGCACAGGAGCTGAGAAGAACACTGCGAAAAGCTCTGTATGGTACATGGCTCTGTATTATACCTCCTATGCACCGACACCGCTCTGTATTATACCTCCTATGATTTTAATGTAGTATTGCTGGGATTTGTTGTGCTCCTCTATAGCTGGTGATATTCGGCATTGCGCTGTATTATTGCTGGGATTTGTAGTCCTCTATAGAAATCGATTTGGAAAATAATCGTTAGCTGCAGCTCTACCGCCATGCACCGACACAGCTCTGTGTTATACCGCCATGTACTGGCACCGCTCTGTTATACTGCCATGTACTGACACCGCTCTGTATTTATACCGCCATGTACCGACACCGCTCTGTATTATACCGCCATGTACTGACACCGCTCTGTATTATACCGCCATGTACCGACACCGCTCTGTATTATACCGCCATGTACTGACACCGCTCTGTATTATACCGCCATGTACTGACACCGCTCTGTGTTATACCGCCATGTACCGACACCGCTCTGTGTTATACCGCCATGTACTGACATGCTGCCGAGGTGAGATCGCAGCCTTCTCTGTTTGGATGTATTGGGCTGCTGTGGGGAGGGATCATGTATTGGGCTGCTGTGGGGAGGGATCATGTATTGGGCTGCTGGGGGGGGAGGGATCATGTATTGGGCTGCTGTGGGGGTAGGGATCATGTATTGGGCTGCTGTGGGGGTAGGGATATGTATTGGGCTGCTGTGGTGGGGTGGGGGGGAGTATCATGTATTGTGGTCTGCAGACATCTGTATTAAGCCCTGGTGAGAAACTGCCCTAAAATCATCAGTTTGTGTTTTAGAAAAAAGTCACCTGTCCCTTTTAAGAAAGTATTGGTAATTGGTATCGGCAAGTACATAAGGGCAAGTACTTGGTCTTAAAGTGGTATCGGGACATCCCTAGTACCGACGCCGCTCTGTATTATACTGCCATGTACTGACACCGCTCTGTATTATACCGCCATGTACTGACGCCACTCTGTATTATACCGCCATGTACTGACGCCCCTCTGTATTATACCCCCATGTACTGACGCCACTCTGTATTATACCGCCATGTACTGACACCGCTCTGTATTATACCGCCATGTACTGACACTGCTCTGTATTATACCGCCATGTACTGACACTGCTCTGTATTATACCGCCATGTACCGACACCGCTCTGTATTACACCTCCTATGTACTGACAGTACATAGGAGGTATAATACAGTAATAATACAATAATGTATTATTGAAAGGAATACAACAAATCCTAGCAATAGTACATTATAGCTGGCTGTATTCTGCATTGCGCTGTATAATGTACTATTGCTGGGTTTTGTAGTCCTCTATACAGCGCAATGCAGAATACCACCAGCTATAGAAGAGTAAAAATCCCAGCAATAGTCCTCTATACAGCACAATGCAGAATACCACCAGCTATATAGGAATACAACAAATCCCAGCAATAATATATTATACATACAGTTTGTAATGTATTGCTGGGATTTGTATTCCTCTATAGCTGATGGTACATTGTGCTGTACTGTATATTATACAATCAGCAATAGTACATTATACATACAGTGTATAATGCATTGCTGGGATTTGTATTCCTATGTATAATATACAGCACAATGTACCATCAGCTATAGAGGAATACAAATCCCAGCAATACATTATAGAGCACCATGTGGGGGAAGTGCAGGCTTACCTGAGCAGTCTTCCAGCAACTTGCTTCTGAGATCGGGCCTGTCTATCGGCGGCTGTCATCCCCTCACACCTGCACCTCCTCCTACCTCCTACACGATCGGCACTTGTCCCTGTGCCGATCGTGGATGTGGGCGGGCGGTGAACGTGAGGCGGGGAGGAGATGCGGCGTGTGGAGCGTGGATGCGGGTGGGTCTGGCAGCGGCGAACGTGAGGTGCGGAGGAGGTGCAGCATGTGTGGAGCCGTAAACAGGGCCAACCAATCAGAAGCTGATTAATCGATGATTGAAAAAGTTGACAACTTTTTCAATCGATTTATGTTGATTAGTTGTTGCAGCCCTACCGCCATGTACTGACACCTCTCTGTATTATATCGCCATGTACTGACACCCCTCTGTATTATACCTCCTATGTACTGACAGAGCTGCAGCTAACGATTATTTTCAAAATCGATTTTTGTTTGCCGATTTATTAAAGGAGAACTATGAGGCGAGTGCTTTTCACCTACCTCATAGTTCTAGCCGACCTGAGACAATGAGACTATCACAGGTCGGCTCAGTATATCGGGAGGTGAGCACACCTCCCGAACACATACCGGCGTTCGCTCACCTCTCGATCCTGTCAGCCCTCTGCCGTAACAGGGGAGGGGCTGGATTCCCCCCTCCCCGATCCGCCAGCGCTGACTGGCGGAACGGATGGGGGAGGGGCGGGTACAGCTGGCTCTGCCTCTAGATAGGCAGAGCCAGCTGTCACTCACGCAGCTGGGCGGGTCCTGACATAATTGTCGGGATCAGCTGCGGCGTCTCAGTATACAGTGAGCAGTAGCTCGCGGTATACTGAGCCTAGGGTGACGGGAGGACGCTAGTTTGTGTCCTCCCGTTACCCTAAGGAGAACTATGGGGAAAAGCCTTAACCCCATAGTTCTCAAGTTCGTTTAATCGGATAAAACATAAAATACATTTTAAAAAATGGCTCCAGTGATGGACTACTAGTTTGTATTGAGATTGCACTCCATCACAGGAGCAAGCTTGGAGCGGTGGAAGTAAAAAATAGAAAAACAAAAGTGTGGTGTGCAATATAGTGAAATGAAGTTTAAAATTATACAGCAATGAATACAGAATGGCACCGGCTATAGAGGACTACAAAACCCAGCAATAGTACATTGTACAGCACAATGCAGAATACCGCCAGCTATAATGTACTATTGCTGGGATTTGTAGTCCTCTATACAGCGCAATGCAGAATACCACCAGCTATAGAGGACTAAAAATCCCAGCTATAGAGGACTAAAAATCCCAGCAATAGTCCTCTATACAGCACAATGTAGAATACCACCAGCTATATAGGAATACAACAAATCCCAGCAATAATATATTATACATACAGTGTGTAATGTATTGCTGGGATTTGTATTCCTCTATAGCTGATGGTACATTGTGCTGTACTTTATATTATACAATCGGCTATGGAGGAATACAAGTCCCACTATCCCAGCAATACATTATAGAGCACCATGTGTGGGAAAGTGCAGGCTTACCTGAGCAGTCTTCCAGCAACTTGCTTCTGAGATCGGGCCTGTCTATCGGCGGCTGTCATCCCCTCACACTAGGGCGGCAACAACTAATCGACATAATTGATTATAATCGGTTATTGCAAATTGTCAACTTTTTCTATCATCGATTATTCTGCATTCGATTAGTTGGCCCTGTTCACAGCTCCACACACGTTGCTTTGCGCGCCTCACCACCTACCCACCTCACGCTTGCCGCTGCAGACCCGCCCACCCGCATCCACGCTCCACACGCCGCACCTCCTCACGCTCACGGCCCGCCCACAACCACGATCGGCACAGGGACGCGGGGAGAAGTAAGGAGGCACAGGTGTGGGCAGAAGACAGCCGCCGATAGACAGGCCCGATCTCAGAAGCAAGTTGCTGGAAGACTGCTCAGGTAAACCTCCTCCCCTCACATGGTGCTCTATAATGTATTGCTGAGATAGTGGGACTTGTATTCTGCTGTGCTGTATATTATACAGAGCAATATACAATCCGCTATAGAGGGATACAAATCCTAGCAATACAGTATACACCATGTATAATATATTATTGCTGGGATTTGTTGTATTCCTATATAGCTGGTGGTATTCTGCATTGTGCTGTATAATGTACTATTGCTGGGATTTGTTGTGTTCCTCTATAGCTGGTGATATTCTGCATTGCGCTGTATAGAGGACTACAAATCCCAGCAATAATACATTATACAGCGCAATGCGGAATTTCACCAGCTATAGAGGACTACAAAACCCAGCAATAGTACATTATACAGCGCAATGCAGAATACCACCAGCTATAATGTACTATTGCTGGGTTTTGTAGTCCTCTATAGCCGGTGCCATTCTGTATTCATTGCTGTATAATTTTACTCTTCATTTCACTATATTGCACACCACACTATTTTTTTTCTTTTTTTTTTTTCTTTTTTACTTCCACCGCTCCAAGCTTGCTCCTGTGATGGACTACAACCTTAATACAAACTAGTAGTCCATCACTGGAGCCATTTTTTAAAATGTATTTTTTATCCGATTTAATCGAACTTAATAATCGGCTAACTAATCGATTTTGAAAATAATCGTTAGCTGCAGCCCTACCCCACACCTGCTCCTCCTTACTTCTTCTCGTGTCGATCGTGGCGGGGAGGAGGTGCGGTGCGCAGCGTCTGTGGAGCCGTGAACAGGGCCAACTAATCGGAAGCCAATTAATCCATTGAAAGTTTACAACTTTTTCAATAATCGATTTTATGTCGCTTTAGTTGTTGCAGCCCTAACTGACACCGCTCTGTATTATACCGCCATGTACTGACACCGCTCTGTATTATACCGCCATGTACCGACACCGCTCTGTATTATACCGCCATGTACCGACACCGCTCTGTATTATACCGCTCTGTACCGACACCGCTCTGTATTATACCTCCTATGTACCGACACCGCTCTGTATTATACCTCCTATGTACCGACACCGCTCTGTATTATACCTCCTATGTACCGACACCGCTCTGTATTATACCTCCTATGCACCGACACCGCTCTGTATTACACCTCCTATGTACCGACACCGCTCTGTATTATACCGCCATGTACCGACACTGCTCTGTATTATACTGCCATGTACCGACACCGCTCTGTATTATACCGCCATGTACCGACACTGCTCTGTATTATACTGCCATGTACCGACACCGCTCTGTATTATACCGCCATGTACCGACGCCGCTCTGTATTATACCGCCATGTACTGACGCCGCTCTGTATTATACCGCCATGTACTGACGCCACTCTGTATTATACCGCCATGTACCGACACCGTTCTGTATTATACCGCTATCTCTTGTACTGGGGCCAATTTAGACGGGAACAAACCAGCCAGCATGTCTTTGAGGTGTGGGGAATCCCTATAAAGGACGACCATGCCAACTCCATGCAGATAGTGTCCTTCAATGAATGTTGAACAAATAATAGCCAGGTAACCTGTTAAAAATAAAAACACTATTCCAACAGTGTTCCTCAAATATGTATCTTCTTGTGGAACATGAAGTGGTGAAGCATCCGTATATACAAATAGTGAACAAAGTGTTCCTCAGTTGGCAGAGGCACCCGAGTCGAAGGAAAAGGTCAACTTCATTTCTAGGCAGATTTTTATCAATCACCAGAACGCGTTTCGAGGCCTCTCGTCTTCATAAGGGGTGTGATCCAAACTTGTCTTCAGGTTCAGGAGTTTACAAATGGTGATTTTTCACATCCTCACACGCTATTGAGCGTTCCACAAGAGTGCTTTATAAAAATAACCTTATAATGAAGATGGTGTCTCTCTGGATTGATCTTTTACTTCCATTCTGGCACCCCAATACACCAAAATTGTAGCTATATCCCACAAATACTAGAGGTAGAGGCTGTTGCTGTCATAGTACATGAGCAGTGATTGTGAATGGACAGAGATTCTAGCGGCTTGTGTCCAGCGTTAATGTGCTCATGCCCCTTTTATTGTATACACAGCCTGACCGAGCTGTAATGCTTAGTGTGTTTTGCATCTCAATCTAATAAATATCCTTATTGTGTTGGTGGTACTTGGTGATGTAACTGCTCTGAGTTTCTGTTTTCTTGCCTTCTAAAAGATGAACAGGAGGCTCTTAAATCCATCATGAAGGACTTGGTTGCCCTGCAGCTGAGCAAGCGCCATCGGACGCCAGTGATTGAGGGGGGGAAGACCAAGGCCAGCAGTCAACCCAACAAGCAGGTACAGTCTCCTGACATCTGAGCTCTGGGGGGGTGTGATTGTCAGGGCTTGTACAAGGGGAACGTTCAGATGATTAGAGATGTATTGATCTCTGTATATGATCTGGCACGGTGATGTGAATATAAGCCCCCGTTCCTAAAACACCCAGAGGGGTGTACCTACCTGGCAGGGGCCCCCTTTTATTTTTACACTGGTTCTATAATACCACAAAGCATTGTTAGTACACTGCAAAGGCGAAGCATTATTTCTTTTTCTCCAGCCCCACTATAGGGACTAACGTTCATGTCAGATGATGATGATAGATTTGTAGTGAATTTCCGGTCCCGGTCTGAATCTGAAATGTCACTTTGGAGTCTAAAAGCTGCTCTTGTCTAATATCAGCCTCCCCTTTTCGAAGCACCCTTCGCTTGACTGCCAATGCTGCCAGCTCCTACCCTTCTATCCTGGCAGAATTTTTAAAGCAGAATTCGGGGCGGAGATTTCATTAACCCTTGTAGTGGGGCTATGCCCCGCACTGCAAGCGTTAATGCTCATTTTGGTCTAACAAAGTTATACTCGCCTGAACCTCGGAGCTGGCTGGCTGTGATAGCTCTCCCTCCAGATTGTTACTTCTCAGCAGCAGCGGTGGTATGTCCCTCGGCATCCTCGCATCCTATACACTGTGTTTTAAAATGTGATGACTTAGGGACCTTAGACTGCTGCAGCGGAGGGGGAGCATCGCTGGAAGGAGCTTTCTAAGAGCAAGCCAGCTCCAAGGATCGGGCCAGTATAACTTTGTCATTTTTACACCTAGACCAAAACAAGCCTTTAACCCTTGCAGTGCAGGGGGTAGCCCCACAGCAAGGGTTAAGAAAAATGATGCCGGGAGTTGTGCTTTAAAGTAACTGGCTGTTTTTTGGCCCTATCATCTCAGACCGGGCTGCTCAGCTTTCCAATCCATTTTGCATAATTTGCTGCTCTGTAATACTGTATACACATTTTTTTGCAGACCGGTTCAGCTTCTCATCGACTTCAGTCAGACTTCCTGTTTAGGAAATTCCTAATTTTGTGGCTTTGAAATTTTTAAAAGTTCGGCTTAACCGCAACTGATGAAATATTTCTGGTTTGTTACTCTCTAAGGAAATAGGGGTCACCTGGTTATTCAATGCATTTTTATTATTGTGTTTTGATGTGAGTGGGTTTCGATGTCATTTTTGTGTTTTTTAATGGGTTGGTTTTTTGCTTTTATTGTACGGAAACAAAGAGCTCCGAGGCTCCATTCACACCTGACCGGCTGCCGCTCTAAACAGGGAAAACAATGCACTTTAATGTGAATCATTCACACTATTGCAGGGACTGCGTGGCCCCCAAAATAGTACAAGCCGGACGCCGCAAACAAAGATTTTAGCAGTTTAGGCACACGTGGGAAAAACGTAAACGCTATATGTGAATGTAGCCTCAGAGGGTGCTACTAGTAGTAGGTGTGAATTTTGCAGAAACGCATACGTAGGGGTATATTTATAAAGCAGTGACTGTTACATTCACTGAGGTTGAATCAGTCATTGTCATTTGAAATGCATGCACTAGGAAGAGCCATCAAAGTGACCGGTGAATGTCACATTCACTGCTTTATAAATGTATCCTATAGCGATTATGAAACGTTTACATTTCGAAGGCTCTGCAGTGTGAACGGGCCAGGAGGAAATACACACTTTAGCTGGTAGGTGATGTAGATGGTGCCATAGCAGCTGATACGTATTTGCTGAAATAATGTGGAATTTCCATAGTGTGAACGTTTACATTCATTGTATGTGTCTGTTGCAGAATGACGTGCGGATAAAGTTCGAACACAGCGGAGAGAGGCGGTGAGTGTCATTCCATTTCACCAAGCATAAGGCGGCAGATGTGGGACATATTGAAAGCTGGGATTCCTGTTTCCTCTTGTTTCACTTCTATGATTTCCTCTTCTGGCCTTGACCTCGGAGCACCTGCAGCCTGTCCCAATGCTCTTCACTGTCTGCCAAAACAACTGACCCACACAGTCCAACGTCACGCCGCAGGGCATAGGCGCAAATTCTCCTCCTCTGTAGGGGGATCTGCCTGCTACTTTGTACATTTTAGTGCCTTCTTGGCTTTATATTTGTATGAAGAGGGGAGGCAGTGATTTCATTACAGAAAATACAATTGCATACAGTCAAGGAACCAATCCAGTCCCATGTTATCATGAATGGCCTTATTGTGAACCAGCCCTGGCTGGCTCCTATCTCTAACCTGACTTTCCCTCTTACGGGGATTGCATTTGCAGACAGGAGTCGGGAAGTGGCCCCGCGGCTTCTCGGTGGCTGCCAGATCTGACCACAAGTATGCAAGATGGCTGGGGACGGAGCAGGAAGGATTTATAGGCTGGGGGATCACTCCCTGCTTCTGGCTTAGGCCTCTCTGTGTAGACCTGAGCGGAGCACTTCCTATCGGAGGTGGAGGGTTCAGCGGAGTGAACGCACCCACTGGCTGTTTCTGTGTCCTGGATATTGGAGGAGGGTCCCGTGTGGTTTCCTCTCCTTTTAGAGAAATGTATCCCGACACAACTCTTGCATCGTAGATGATGGCCAGTGAAAGCGTTTAGATAAAAACTCTATGGGTCTGCCAGCAGTATTCTGGCAGAATCTTGGAGTCAAATGAGGGCTCCAAGACAAGACTCTGGAGCTTTGTTGTGTTTCCAGAGGAATACTGCTGGAGTTCCTCAATTGGCTGGGATTACTTCATATTTCAGGGGGATGAGGAACTGATACTAATACAGTTGTCATAAAAGAATCATCACTCTGGAGTGGACCTGTCACTTTGAGTTAAAGATCTAATGCATCGTCTACACACAGAAAAAGATGAACAGTTGAGCATTTCCTTGCATCTGGATGAGGCTTACTTAACAGCATTATCCTTTTTATTAGAACTTCCTTGGGACAAGCAGTGGCTGGCAAATGAACTCTTAGAGTGTATTTATAAACAGTTTGCAGAGTCATTTGTCCTTTTTGTATTGCATGTACATTCGTTCTGTGTGAATGGAAGCAAAAATGAATATTGGCATATTTTCTTTGCAGGCTGAATGAAATATCAGGAAAATACTGCTTTATGGCCACTAGGTGGAGCTGAGGAGCATAGGAAGCAAGTATTTATATTCTATGCTCCTCTGTTTCATGTAGTGGCCATAAAGGTGAATTTTCCTGATATTCCATTCAACTTGGCTCTGCATATTTATAAATTACAGCCCTTAACCGCTTCATGTCTGCCAGTTATACCTAGACTATGGGTGCTGCAGTAGCTGTTTTTGTACAGCCAGTGATTGCTGTTTACATGCTTGTATGATTCCAGGGAGTTCCCCCCCCCCTCCACTGTTACCACCAGCTATCCCAGCCTCCGCTGTTCCCCATGCAAGCCCAGGACCAGCACGGCTGGTCTCTTCACCTCTTCACTTTGATCAGAGGGAGATCAGCACACTTCCAGCAGCTGATCTTCCCTCTGATCACAGGAGGAAGGGATGTGCATTATATTCCTATTTGGGCAACTAGGAGTACTCGCCCAAATACTCGGTACCAATACTAGTATCGGTATTGGTGCATCCCTACCTTTTTAAATAAAACAAATCATGTTAATGGTTGTGGTGGGCAGTGGCACCGCATTTCTGCAGAAGTTCACCTAGGTGTGTAGACTCCTCCTCCTAGAACTCTGCAGTTGGAGCTTCCGTTTGTATAGTCATCTGTTATCACTGTCTTCCCTCTACTGTACTGACATTTCCTGTGCATGAGCATTGTATGCAAATTGCCATAGTGGAGGAGACGGCGTGCGACTTTCTGCTACTTTTCCAGCTATTGGGTGCATTTCATGCAGTTCTGTATGGAAGAATAGTCTTCAGTGTGCAGAAGTAAACAGCTTGTTATGGTCACCTGGAAGTACAATCAGATAAGCAGCATGGTGACTAAAATTGATGCTGTACATCCCAAAAAAGAGGTAAAAATAAAGCTGGCTGAATAATCAAAGCTTCATAAAAGCCTAGGAGATCCAGGGGATGAGGTCTGATGGCATCAATGTCCCAAGATGCATCTGGAAGGCAATGAACTGTTGATGTAACTTGTGACCTGGGAGTGCTGCAGAGAATTTTTTTTAGCTGTACCGAAACAATTTAAGTTTGTGTGCGTCTCGTTTTTGCCTGGGGTAAAAAACAGGTTATACTCACCCAAAGCTCTGAGCCAGCAGTGCTCCCTCCAGTCTGTCTCCTCCGCTGCAAGGATGGTATTTCCTTCAGCATCCTTACCTCCAATACACTGTGATGACTCAAGGACTCCTAGACCGCTGCAGAGACGCTCAAGGGACCGGTGTAAGCCAGCCAGCTCGGAAATTCTGGTGAGTATAACTTGTATGTTTTTACCCTAGGCAAAAACTTGAAGTTAACCCTTGCTGTGCTGCAAGAGGTATTAACATTTTCTGCCCGCAGTTCTTTCAGGTACCTGTTTTCATCTGTTGATGATCATTTTGGGGCCCATAGAAGTCAATAAGAGTACATGGAAATACACAGTACATACAATGTTACTGAAACCTGGCCCTGGGAACAGGCCATGACCTCCTGATGTATCTAAGTTTGAAAAATGAGCGGCTCTTCTCACCCCTCCCTAGATGCCGAGTACATAATTGGAGATAACACACAATTATAAAGTATATAAACGCATGGAAACGCATAGCTCGGTGGTCGCGCCATTTTATAGTTGTAGTCATAATGGGCCTTTTATTCTTCCAGGATCCTGCAGTTTCCTCGTCCTGTGAAGTTTGAAGATGTGGAACAGAAAGTGAAGATGGTGTTTGGTCAGCAGATGGACCTTCATTACATGAACAATGAGGTGAGCACACTGCCAGTGCAGACATCAAACACGCCATGTCAGGAGGCAGTTGAATTATACTGGCCAGCTTGACCTCTGAATGATTGTATACATTTCCTTGTACTTGCTTCATAGAGCCAAGTATTGACAACTGAGAGCCATGCATGTTGCAATGGACAGAGCTCAGCTTGAGTAGATATTGTTTATATGCTGTCCTACCTAGTCCTCTAATAGGAGCAGTCTGGGTATAGTATTAGGCAGTAGAATGTATTTCATGGAGTCTGGACTGTGCTGAAACCCACAGCAATAGAGATGAATTTACTCCCATGTTGTACTGGTTACTCCATATAGTGTTAGGAACAGGAACTGCCATGTTGTGTTGACTTCTTTCTGTCTTCTTGCAGCTCTCTATCCCTCTCAGAAGTCAGGATGACCTAGACAAAGCTGTTGATCTCCTGGACCGCAGCTCCAGCATGAAGAGTCTTCGTATTCTCCTCATCTCCCATGACAAGAACCATGTAAGGCCATAT